AAAATAAATAAAGTATAACTCCTAATGCTTTATCTCGAGTAGATTTTCAGCCAATGAATAAACTTCAGGAATGTCCAAGGGCAGAAAAGCTGGAAATCTCCAGTGGTCTAAGAATGTATCTGATGCCCATTACCACGCTTTCTTTTGAGCCCTAATTCCCTAGACATGTGTAAGTCGAATATGCTGGTGCCTTGGATATTTTATAACACACAAATTCAGTGTGACCCACTCGCTCCATTCGGAACCATGTTTCTACGCAGACCCAAGAACTGTTCCCACAACGCCGAGTGTGTCTGGAGTTCAGGTTTCAGAAAGTATAACAGGTGCCATCTAGCTTATAAGCTGTTTTTCTTTTCTTTTTGCCATTCCGGGGCTTGAACTCAGGGCCTGGACTCTGTCCGTGAGGCTTTTCCGTGCTCGAGGTGAGCACTCCAGCACTTGAGCCACAGATCCACTTCCAGCTTTTTCTAAGAGTCTCAGGGACTTTCCTGCCCAGGCTGACCTCGAACTGTGATCCTCAGATCTCAGCCTCCTGAGTAGCTGGGATGACAGGCGTGAGCCACTGGCGCCCGGCTTCTACTTTTTATTAATTCACAAGCCCACTGAATACAAAGCACAGTGCTCCAAAGACCACGTCTCAAGAGTACACTCATTATATTTGACAGAGCATTTTATATGTGCCACATTCAAGAGATTTAAGGAGCATGCAATGTTTAAATACCTGTTTATTTCTAGAAGAAATGGTTGTGATCTTCCTAGGCCGTTTGTTTAGAATTTGAAGAGAAGAGAAATATTCAAACACACCAATAACATCAAGAATAGACACTCGTCAGTTCCAAGATGGCTCCAGTGCTCGTGGACACACGCGGGTCAATTCCATTGTAAATCCAAGGGTTTACCGCTCTCCACGAGTTCAGGAAAGAGGGCAGATGGTGTGCAGACATGAACGAAGGCCACAGACTTCACAACTGGCATCAAGATAAGACTCACTGAAAACTCACTTCCTCCCATGCTCAAGCGGCTTCCGGACAAGACTCCGAACTGTTCCTGTTATAATAACATCAAACCTTTCCCAGCAATCAGTGCCTAAGAGAGAATTCACAGCCAAAAGAAGCCATCCACACGAGCAGTATGAATCTTAAACAGCTCTCAGACTTCTATTAGCCACAGAAAGACCCATGCCGAGTTCAGCATTCCCAGTGGTGCGGGTTGAACGCCATGATACCTTTGTTATTTCCAGAGCCCTAAAAGAAACCTGGTGGTAGACACCTTGCTACGTTGCCTCGGTAGTCCAGACAGATCTCAAACACCTGTGTGACATTCAGAGGTGACTTTGGGAAACTATCCAGCCTGGCACGGTGCGGGCTGGCGTGATTGGGAAGCATTCTTTACCAAAGATTTTGTCTGAGTGAAGTAGCAAAGGCCGCTTAAAACTTTGCTGAGCCACTCAGTGAAGGTTCTAAAGTCCTGCCTGGTTTTCCATGATTGGTTCTCTCATTTAAGACAATAAGAGTGTTGAACTACAACTAAAAGCAAAATCAACTTTGCTTGTGGGCCTAGGGCTTCATACAGCGAAGATAGGGCATTTGTCAGCGTAGCGAAGGGCACGGAATGCCTTATGCTCTACTAAGGCCTTTAAAAGCAGACACACCACATGCAGAGCAAATCCTCAAGGTCAGCGGAGGGCGCCGCAAGGTGAATACCGAATCGCGCAGAATCCACGTGAAATTCTCACCAAAGGACACAGCTTTACAAACCGGAGGAGGGGACTCAGGTACCAGCAGAGGACAGAATCATGACTAGCCACCCCAGGAGAGTTGTGTTCCCTAAGGAGGTGGAAGGAATCCATTTCTAGTTTTGTTTTTAAGCCAGAAGTGGAGCTACGGCTCAAGTGGAAGAATGCCAATGTTGAGTGAAAAAAACTGACAACACCCAGTCCCCGAGTTCAAGCCCCGGGATTAGCACATACCCACCGCAAAACTGAGAAATAACAGCTTCACAGTGCTACGCCTCACAAAGCCTCCCAGAGGACATTTTTATTAGCCAAGTATATAGACTTGTATAAAAAGATTCCATCCTTGTTCTGTTGTGAAAAAATACTCTAAGAAGCAGCAAGCAGCCCTTGGAGAGGGGAGAATCCAGGCTTATTTTGCAGATTGGCCCCCAGAAGCTCCTACTTCAGTCTATGACCCCGATCCATAAGAATACAAGCCTTTTAGAGAGCACAAGTGTACCCCAATATTTGAGTTCCTCAAAAACGACTTGCAGGCTCTTCCTTACCAGTCTGAGCCAGTTCTGATCATGGCAGGCTTTCCTCTTATTCATGGCAAGCCCTGAGATCCTTACAAACCAAGAAAGAATGAGACACTGTCACGCATCGCCAGAGACCACCAAGCTCAGCGTGGGCTCCTAAAAAACCAAACTATAAAACGTTTAAGGAGAACATCGTCTTGTTTTGTTTTTTTTAAGTGCTGCCTGTGTCTCGCGCCTGTAATCTTACCAACTCAAGAAGGCTGAGATTTGAGGATTGTGATTTGGAGCCAGCCTGGGTAGGAAAGTCTTGAGATTCTCACCTCCAATGAGATCACAGAAAAAGATGGAAATGGCGCCGTGGCTCAAGTGGTAGAGAGCTAGCTTTGGGCACAAGGAGCCCAGGGGCAGCGCCCAGGCCCTGAGTTCAAGTCTCAGGACTGGCAAAAAGAAAAAGAAAGAAAAAAAATCCAATTAAATGTTTTAAAAGGCTTCACTACAAATTGCCTTTAAAAATTTTTTGTGCCAAGTAAGAGGTTTCCTTACGACATTTACACACATACAATAGTGAACTTACATAAAACTCGTGTAAGAAATCATGTAGAAACTCAAATAAAACGTGCATAGACATGCGTGCAGACGCCACGCTCATTCCTGATAACTGCTCTTTACGATAAGGAGAAAAGTAGTAACCCCCATAGAGGTATAAATTGGTGTCGTCACTGTAGTTTAAACCTGAGGTGAACACGCTCGGATGCAGGCGCCAGTGGCTCACGCCTGTAACCGCAGTTACTCAGAAGCCTGAGACCTGGGGGCGGCAGTTCGTAAGCACCCTGGGCAGGAAAGCCACGAGCCAGCCAAAGGCTGGAAGTGGAGCCGTGGCTCAGGCGGCGGAGCGCCGTCCCGGGCCCTGACCGCGGGGCCCGCGCGCCGTCCCGGGCCCCGACCGCGCCTGACCGCGGGGCCCGCGCGCCGTCCCGGGCCCTGACCGCGGGGCCCGCGCGCCGTCCCGGGCCCTGACCCCGACCGCGGGGCCCGCGCGCCGTCCCGGGCCCCGACCACGGCTCCCCGTGGCCGGTTCCTCGGGGACAAGCGTCTCCAGGACGTCGCGCCCAGGCTGGCTTTGAACTCGGGTCCTCGGGTCTCGCCTCCGGGGTCGCGGGGCGCAGGCGCGGCCTTCCCAGGCCGACTGAGAGCGCGAAGGGCTGCGCGGACCGGACGCTCTCGTGGCAACGCGACAGCGCTCAGCCTCACGCTGGGGATGGTCAGGGGCTCCGTCACCCCCAAGCCCGGAGACGGCAGAGGGCGCTCGTGGGCGAAAATCCGGCTCTGTCCCGGCGCCTGGCTGGAGGCAGGTTGACAGGGCCCGCAGGCTGACAGGGCCCGCAGGTTGACAGGGCCCGCAGGTTGACAGGGCCCGGCAGCCGCAGCCGCAGGAGACCGCAGGGGGGGGGGAGAGGGGGGAGGGGGGAGAGGGGGGGAGGGGGAGGGGGGGGGGAGTTAGTGAGGGGAGGGAGGGGGAGAAGAATGAGGTTTCCCAACCCCTGACCCTGCTGGCCCCGCCCCCCGCAGGGACCCAGCGGCGGGATGACGTCACCGCCGGCCGGGCCCCGCGGATTATGCAAAGGAGGCCTCCGCGCTGGCCAATCGCAGGGCGCGACGCGCGGTGACGCCGGGCGCGCGCTCGGGGAGTATTTATAGATCGTATTTAAACAGCCCCTGGGAGCCTCCGCCGGGGCTCGCGCCGGCCGGGCGGGGCGGGCGGGGCGGGTGCGCGCGCCGCTCGGGGGCGGGGCCGGCGGGGCGGGCTGCGCGCGGCCCCCGGGATCCGGGATCTCACTGAAGACGGCGGGGCGGGGCGGGGCGGGGCGGGGCGGGGCGGGGCGGGGCGGGGCGGGGGAATCGAAGGACGGGGCGTCGCAGCCCGCTCCCCACCCGGCCCGCCCGGTGCGGCCCTCCGGGCGGGAGGACGGAGCCGGCGGGGTGCGGGGTGGGGGGGGAGGGGGGCGGGGCCGTCGCAGGAAGCCGCGCGCGCGCACGCGCACCCTCACGCACGCAATGTCTGCTTTTTATTGTGATATTTGCTCGTTTGCCTCCTTTGTCGGCCGAGGGGCCTGGACGCGGGCCCCGCGCGGGCCCCGAGCGCCCCGGCGCGGACGCCCCGCCCCCGAGCGCCCCGGCGCCGGACGCCCCGCCCCCAAGCCGCGGCGCCGGACGCCCCGCCCCCGAGCGCCCCGGCGCCGGACGCCCCGCCCCCGAGCCCCGACGCCCCGCCCCCGAGCCCCGACGCCCCGTCCCCGAGCCGCGGCGCCGGACGCCCCGCCCCCGAGCCCCGGCGCCGGACGCCCCGCCCCCGAGCCCCGACGCCCCGCCCCCGAGCCCGGACGCCCCGCCCCCGAGCGCCCCGGCGCCGGACGCCCCGCCCCCGAGTCCCGACGCCCCGCCCCCGAGCCCCGACGCCCCGCCCCCGAGCCGCGGCGCCGCCCCCGAGCCCCGACGCCCCGCCCCCGAGCCCCGACGCCCCGCCCCCGAGCCCCGACGCCCCGCCCCCGAGCCGCGGCGCCGGACGCCCCGCCCCCGAGCCCCGACGCCCCGCCCCCGAGCCGCGGCGCCGGCCCCGGCGGCTCGCGGAGGTCGGCCGCGCACGCTGCTGCCCGGCCCCGGCGGCTCGCGGAGGTCGGCCGCGCACGCTGCTGCCCGGGCCCGCTGGGAGGCTGCTCGGAGCTCCGCCCCGCCCGGCCGCGCCCGCCGCTTCCTCCGAGCTCCCCGCTCCACCTTGCGGCGGGGGTGGCGGCTGCCCAGCACCCTGAGATTCACGGTCCCGTCTCCAGACCGACTAAAAGCAGCACACTTCCCGATCCTGAGCGTTTCATAGGAGTTTCCTCCCCACAGCGTAAGTCGGCCTCAATTCAGGCTGTTTTCCTCTTCTCTGACTGAACTGCGCCTAACGTCACCTTGGAATGGTGCCCCGAAAGGACAAGGCCCGCCCAGCGCTGGCGGCCCGCGCCTGTCAGGAGGACCAGGGTTCGAAGCCAGCCCGGACAGGAGAGCCCACAAGCCTCTGCCTCCAACCGGCCCCCAGCCAAAGCCGGGCATGGAGCGGTGGCTCAAGGGGTAGAGCTCCGGCCTCGAGCACAAAACCTCAAGAACACTGCTCAGGCTCGGAGCTTAAGCCCCAGAACCAGCACAAAATAGAAAGTAAGTAAAGATAAATGTATTTATATTTGTATAATAAAAGGAATCTTCTCCCTCCTTAAAAATGTTTATATATAGTATATATATTATATATACTGTATATTATGTTTATATATAGTCGGTCACCAAAATCTAGTCAACATTCTTTTTCTTGTCAGATGGCCAAAAGAAAAAACAAAACAAAAGAAAAAACCAAACCCAGCTATAAAACAACCATCAATTAATGAACATAAAGAAGAATGAGGGGCTGGGCAGGTGGCTCAAGTGGTAGAGTGCCAGCCTTGAGCTGAAGAGCTGAGGGACAGCGCCCAGGCCCAGAGTTCAAGCCCCACGACCGACAAAAAAAAAAAAAAATCTTCATTTGAGAGATGATTTGATCATCGCAAAACTCACCCATTTACAGGATACAACAGCTTTTAATAAATTGAGAGGGTATGATACAACCAGCTTCCTATTCTAAACTTTGAACGTATTTGTCACCTCAAAAGAGAAGACTTGGGCTCACCCGATCACCCCTAAACCACCCCAGCCCCAGAAAAACACTAATCTACTTCATAAAGCAAAACAATTCCATTCTGTGTGCCAAGACACGGGCTTGAACTCAGGGCCTTCTTCTCTTCAAAGCTAATGCTCTACCGCTGGAGCTACAGCTCCACTCCCAGCTTCTTGGTGGTTCATTACTAATAAGAGTCTCATAGACTTTCCTCCTGCCTGGGCTGGCTTTGAACCACGATCCTCAGATCTCAGCCTCCTGAGTAGCTGGGATGACAGGCGTGAGCCACTGGTGCCTGGCTGGGCAATCATTTTTAACTTGGTGAATTTTTTTAAAAATGTGGCCACAGAGGGGTCATCCATGATACTCACACTAACGTCTGTGATTTTTGGCAGTTTATCCTTTTCATTCCTACAACGCCTAAACTACCTTAACATTTCTAACACCAACAACAACAAAAAAAAAATAGTGTTTTTTTAAAAAAATCCCTCTCCCTTTCTTTCTCTCATTACAATTTTGAACACTATTTCTTGGAATCTTTTGAAACAGCAGCTGCTCAGGACAACAAATATTAGCTCGAGTAGTTCTAAAATAACTCCTTTCTTCAGCCGTGAAAGGGAGGAGAGTCTGCGTAAATAAAAAATAAAAATATTCCAGTGGCTATGAGTTTTCTCCACAAGTGACTTAGTGAAGGTAAATACCAAAAGCTCTAAAATCGATCATAGTAGCACTTTTGTGAGCTGTCTTCCCTAGGGGTGAGGTCAGTTTAGCTGTTAAAGAAAACCCACTGGGTGGGGAAAAGCTAAACCTGGGCTTTGACATTTCAGTCTTTTTTTGCTAGTGACCTCAGCTCCCTTTCCTGAATTATTGTTGGTTTAAAAACAAAGCAGTGTTTCTAAGTTTCTCTCTTTCCTTTTGGTGTCAGTGTTGGGCCTGGAACTCAGGGCCTCATTCAAGGCTGGTGCTCTACCGCTTGAGTCATAGCTCCATTTTCAGCATTTTTTGCTGGTGGACTGTAGAAAAGAGTCTCACAGGTTTGTCTACGAGGGGCGGCTTTGAACCTGCATCCTCGGGTCTCAGTTTTCTGAGTAGCTAGGCTTACTGGCATGAGCCATTGGCATTTGGCCTGCGTCTCTTTGCTTTTGCTGCAGTAAAAGCTCATGAGCTGGACACGAAGGTCTGATCACTTGAAATAAGAGCTCCTGGGAGATTTGTATCTCTTAGAAGGGGAAATTCAACAGGAAAAAGAAATCAAACAACATGCTCCATTTCTGATCCTGTGATCTATTTTACACCTTTATTGTTGACTTGGTATTTCTGAAGAATAGGGGCCCAGAGTGAATACTACAGTTACACAAAGGCCAGCTGCAGAGTCCTTCAGAAACACTGACTTGTTTTCCAAGCTCCAGAACAGCTCTGGCTCCTGAAGATGAGCTCAAACTGACCAAAGACACAAACTCCTGGGAGATAAAAACCACTGGCCAATAAGAGCTTACAGATAATGTGTGTGTGTGTGTGTGTGTGTGAGCGTGCACAAGCGCACACATGCACACACACACACACATGCATGTGTATGCTGGTACTGGGGTTGGAAGTCAATGCCTAGACCCTGCCCCTTAGATTTTTGCTCTACCACTTGAGCCACGGCTCCACTTCTGGCTTTTTGGTGGTTAACTTGAGCTAAGAATCTCAAGGAACTTTCCTGCCCTGGCTAGCTTCCAACTGTGATCCTCAGATCCTAAGTAGTGAGCCACCACCGCCTGGCTACAGATCGTTTTAACACTTGGCCTAAAAATGCAAAGGCATTAACTCCTTTTAGAATGTAACTGTCTGTGTGTGGGGTGTGTGTCTGTGTCTGTATCTGTGTGTGTGTGTGCAGGTCCTGGGGCTTAAACTCAGGGCCTGAGCCCTGTCCCTGAGCTTTTGTGCTCAAGACTAGAGCTCTAGCACTTGAGCCACAGCTCCACTTCTGGTTTTCTGGTGGTTCATTGGAGATAAGAGTCTCACAGACTTTCCTGCCCAGGCTGACTTTGAACTGTGATCCTCAGATCTCAGCCTCCTGAAGCTCTAGGATTACAGGTGTGAGCCACTGGCTCCCAGCTGTATCTCCAGTTTCCTTTGGGAAATATTATTGTTGTTGTTGTTGTAAAGCAGGAAGATTGCCCCCTATTCAGTTCATGTCAGCTGGTTGGTTGGGGCAGGAATGGAACCCAGGCCCTAGTGGAGCTTGCTTAGCCACAGACTCTACCACCAAGCTACACCCATACAGCACCGTAGCCCAACTTCACTTCAAATACTGAAGTATGCCGAGCATAAGAAGACGCATGGGTATTTTCTAAGTTTGCTCAGAATAGAAAAAAGTCGGGAAGGATATACTCCAAACTGTCAACAAAGGAAAACAAAGACAATTATTGCTTGTTGCCCTCTCTTTCTCTGTCTCTGTGTCTGTCTGTCTTTCTCTGTCTCTCTCTGTGTCTCTCTGCCTCTTTCTCTCTCTCTTTTTCTTGTGCTGATACTGGGGCTTGAACTCAGGACTTTATTTCTTGCTCACCTTTTCTATTCAAGGCTGGTACTCTACCACCTGAACCACACCAGCATTTTTCTGATTAGGTATAAGAGTCTCATAGCTCCCAACTCCCAGCCTTAAATCTCAGCCTCCTGAGTAGCTGGGGTTATAGCTAGGAGCCACAGGGCCCAGCTTACGCTTTCTCTTGAATAGCAACCCTGTGTCTGATAAACAGTCCTTTTTCCTACTTTTTTCAGGGGATCTAGATAGGAGAGCGGGAATCGGCCGCCTGAATTGTTCTGACTACAGAGATTTGTTAGCCTATCATCTGAAGTAAGAGCAGAGCACTTTCTGAATGTTTTGCTAAATGGCTTGAGAAAGAGAGAGAGAGAGAGAGAGAGAGAGAGAGAGAGAGAGAGAGGGCTTCTCTTCTTTCTTCAGTCACAAAGATGATGCTTGAACTCTAGGCCTCAAGCTCTTGCTTGGCTTTTTCCCTCAAGGCTCCTGAGTAGCTAGAATTACAGGTGTGATCATCAACGCCGAAAAAAATCGCTGTCTCTCTGATTTGCTCTTCTTATTGAAAAAAATCACCATAATCATAATATTCCTCATGTTTTAAAATTAACCCAGATGGGAGCCAAGAAGGAGATTGTAATATTTGGTAGCATTTAAATTATTTTCTCTGCATGGTTATGAAAATGAAATCCATTCCACGAAGGTATAAAATTAGCCTGAAGGATTGAGTGGTAATTTAGTTTTATTGGGTATATTATTTCGTATTTATTGAATACCACCGTGTTCCAGAACCTTGTAGGGGACAATATGTGGTCTGTGTTCTTTAGCAAGAACTCTGTTTGCTAGGTTAGGAAATCCCACTGTGTGGCCCAAGAAATGTTTTGCCCGGATGTAAACTGAATTTAGAAGGGCCAGAGACAGTCAGAACTGTGAACATTTCAAGAAACTCACATCCAATAATAAACCTTTCCTTGGTAAAACAGAATAGCAAGCACACTCACAAAAAAGGCAAGAAATCTAAGTTGGGTGCTACTTGGAGATTCGAGTCTCACAGACTTTCCTGCTCAGACTGGCTTTGAACTTTGATCCTCAGATCTCAGCCTCCTGAGTGGCTGGGATGACAGGAGTGAGTCACTGGCACCTAACAATAGGGAATAGTTGCTATCTTCTAGGTCTTAGGTCACTATATAGGTTCATAGCTTTGAGCCTCTCTTTGGAATGGGGGGAACTTGGAGGTTGGGTAAAACACCTCACTCCTGTAATCCCAGCCAAGCTACGCAGGGAGTTAAGATCTGGAGAGTCTTAATTTAAGACCAGCTCCAAGCAGAAAAGTCCATGAGACGCCATAACTAAAATCACCAGCCAAAACCTGGGCTGGAAGTGTGGTTCTGGTTCTGGTGGTAGAGCAGCAGTAGGGCAAGAAAGTCAACCAAGTACTCAGCTTGAGTTCAAAGCCCAGTTCAACAAACCAAACAGACAAATCACAGCATCTAAGCCATAAAGTGCTCGATCTGCCATTCCCTAAGACGCTTTTGTGTGGGTGTCAGTACTAGGGTTTGAACTCAGGGCCTGGGTGCTGCCTTTTAGCTTTGTCACTAAAGGCTGGTGCTCTACCACCTGAGCCACAGCTCCACTACCAGTATTCTGATGATTCACTGGAGATGTGTTTCATGGACTTTCCTCGCTCTGACTGGCTTCGAACCTGGACCCTCAGATCTCAGCCTTCTAAGGAGCTGGGTTGACAGGTATGAGCCATAGTCACCTGGCTCATTTTAATTGTAGTCATTTAATCCATGAGTGTCCTCTTCCTTAAGCAACTAATAGCAATAGTTCTGAACAAAACATGTGTGTTGTAATACTCAGCTTCTTTTCTAAATTAAAATTGCCTCTTAAGCTGGGCATTGGTGGCTCACGCCTGTCATCTAGCTATTCAGAAGGCTGAGACCTGAGGAACACGGTTCAAAGCCAGCCCAGGCAAGAAAGTCCTTAAGACTCGTATCTCCAATGAACTAGCAAATAAGCTCGAAGTGGCGCTGTGGCTCAAGTGGTAGAGCGCTAGTCTTGAGCATATAAAGCTCAGGGACAGCGCCCAGACCCTGAGTTCAAGTCCTAGAACTTGAACCAAATAAAGATAAAATAAAACAATTACCTTGTAGAGCAAAAGGAGCTCAGGGACAGTACCCAGGCCCTGAGTTCAAGCCCCAGGACCTATCTGTGTGTGAAATATGCAGCTATTACTAAATATATTCTTTTGCTAAAATCTGTCAAGATTGATCCCACAGACTTTTTTTTTGTTCAGTCCTGGGGCTTGAACTGAGGGCCTGGGCGCTGTCCCTGAGCCTCTCTGTGCTCAAGGCTAATGCTCTACCATTTGAGCCACACCACCACTTCTGGCTTTTTCTGTGTATGTGGTTACTGAGGAATCAAACCCAGGGCTTCATGCATGCTAGGCGAGCGCTCTACCACTGAGCCACCTGCCCAGCCCCCAGACATGGTTTTATAGGCAAGCTACCTACCCCTGAAAAATGACAGCCACACACAAAAGCACCCAAAGCCATTTTATCCAAGAGAAAAGAATGCTGAAGAATCTCAAAGATGGTAACATCTTTTACTAAAAAGAAGCAAGGAACAATCCAGTCCCGTGAGGAGAAAAAAACCCAACACCTACCAAGAATGTTTGTGGAAGTCAAGCACGTTCATTGTATTTATAAATACAAATATACCACCATATATTTTTTGCACACACGCACCATAAATATCGATGGTATTTGCTCAGCAGGGGTCGGGCTGTAAATGTCTGACAGGGCTGAGCCTCCTTGTTTGTGTGTATGTATTTCTGTCTCCCTGGACTCAAGCTATTAACCACAAAGTCACGTCTGTGATTTACACTCGCAGCCTAGAGCAATGGCAGCCGCCATCACTCTCAAACTTCACTTGCTTACAACACACACTGCATCCATGGTCAGACTACAAGAAGAGCCTTAGGGCCTTGTGTTCTTGCTTGGCTTTTTCAACTCAAGGCTGGTGCTCTGCTGCATGAGCCATCCTCTACTTCTGACTTTTTGCTGGTTCACTAGAGATAAGAGTATCACAAATTTGTCTGCATGGGCTAACCTCAAACCATGATCCTCAACTGTCAGCCTCCTGAGTAGCTAGGATTAACAGGTATAAGTCACTTTTGAAAGTATGTCCTTTCAAATTTACTACTGGTCCTAGGAGGATAAGCTCTGTACCCGTAATGGAATATATGTTATAGTCACATTCTCATTTTCCCCCAAGAATTATCTTTTTTTTATTATCATGCATTGAATGAATCAGAAATCACATTTGAAAAGTGAATGTAATTGCACCAGGCACTGGTGGCTCAGACCTGTTATCCTAGCTACACAGGAGGCTGAGATCCGAGGGTCACAGTTTGAAGCCAGTTTAGGGAGGAAAATCTATGAGACTGTATCTTCACTAAACTACCAAAAAGACCAAAAAGAAGGAAGGAAGGAAGGAAGGAAGGAAGGAAGGAAGGAAGGAAGGAAGGAAGGAGGGAGGGAAGAAAGGAAGGAGGGAAGGAAGGAAGGAGGGAAGGAAGGGAAAGAGGGAGAGGGAGAAGGATGGAAGGGGAGAGAGAGAGGGAGAGGGAGAGGGAGGGAAGGAGAGAGAGAGAGAGAGAGAGAGAGAGAGAGAGAGAGAGAGAGAGAGAGAGAGAGAGAGCGAGCGAGCAGATGAAGGTATTAGAAATGACAAAGCAGTGGACCTGCTGATACTACAGGCAACCTCACTAGGACCAGAACTCTAAGCAGCAAACAACTCAAGGAGTTAAAGCAATCCAGTTTTGGTGGCAGTTATCCAGAAAACTGTGATAAAAATCTGTAGCTTTATGCTGTTAAATTTTGGAATAATGTTTTATATAATGAAAACTCAGGAAATGTGAAGTCCAAAAGGAATAGTGTGTATGTGTGTGTGTGTGTGTGTGTGTGTGTGTGTGTGTGTGTGTACCAATACTGGGTCTTGAACTTTGGACCTGTGCACTGTCCCTGAGCAAAATACTTTGCTCAAGCACTCTACCACTTGAGCCACAGCTCCACATCTGGCTTTTTGTTAGCTAACTGGAAATAAAATCTCATGATCTTTCCTGCCTGACTTCAAACTCGGATCCTCAGAGCGCAGCCTGCAGAGTAGCTGGGATTACAGGCGTGAGCCACCAGTGCCTGACCCACAAGCAGTTATCTTAATCCCTTGGGCTGTGAACACCTTATTGTATGTCTATTATATTGCATAAGGAAGGACTTAAACTTGACTTGAAAGAACCTCATTTCTCCAGCCTGATGTCAAATGTCTTCCAGAGGACCAGTGAAACATGTCAAGACATTTGAAATCTATAGTGTACAGCAAGATTGTACGTTGTTATTTCTGTGAACTGTGATAGGAAAATCCTTATGAAGTACGAAAACACTGCCCACATCCATGAAAATAGTAGCGTAGCATTTCCACAGTGGAAACAGAGTTCCCAGGGCAGAATGGCTATCAGCAGAAAGCTCCGTTCCAATGAACTCATCCTGTCTAGACCAGCCCAGCATCAAAAGTGAAAACAGATGACTGAGCTATTTCCTTTTCTTTGAAACTTTGACCCTGCAATGTTCATTGATATGGCTTCAGAGCTAAGTATATGAAGGTTCATCAGAAAAGTCAAGGTGAAAATTGCAAAGTCAGAGCGGGCAATGTGGCTTAGTGGTAGAGTGCTTGCCTTGTATGTATGAAGTCCTGGGTTCGATTCCTCCATACCAGATAAACAGAAAAAGCCGGAAGTGGCGCTGTGGCTCAAGTGTAGCGTGCTCACCTTGAGCAAAAGAAGCTCAGGGACAGTGCCCAGGCCCCTAGTTAAAGCCCCAGGACTGGAAAAAAAAAAAAAAAAAGAATTGCAAAGCCAGAAGCACTACTTTAAATGAAGAATTAGAATAATTTAGTCAGGTGCTGGTGGCTCATGCCTGTAATCATTGCTATTGAAGGGGCTGAGATAGGAGGATCACGGTTCAAAGCCAGCCTGGGCAGGAGAGTTGGTGAGACTTTCCAATTACCTAGAAAAAGCCAGAAGTGGAGCTATGGTTTCAGCTGTAGAACGCTAGCCTCGAGCCAAAGAAGCTCAGAGCCCAGGCCCTGAGTTCAAGCCAAGGACCAGCTCACAGACACAAAAATATCTCACTTAAATTATGGTGCGTCTGGCTTCTGATGTATAGCTGAAAGTTCTTTTAAGCAAATGTTATTTTTAGTTATTGCTGTCATTGCAAAAAGAATAATATCAAGAAATAGAATGATACAGTATGTGCTGCCAGGGACTGGTGGCTCACAGCCATAATCACAGCTACTTAGAAGGCTGAGATCTGAGCTCTGCAGTTCAAAGCCAGCTCAAGCAGGAAAGTCCACAAGACTCTTATATCCAGTTAATTACCAAAAAGCCAGATGTGGTAGAGTGGTAGCATTCAGCAAAAAAGCTGCCTAGTTTGTGAGTTCAAGCCCCAGGACTGTGTGTACACACAAAAAGAATTTCATGCCGGGTGCTGGTGGCTCACGCCTATAATCCTAGTTACTCAGGAGGCTGAGATCTGAGGATCGTGGTTCAAAGCCAGCCCAGGCAAGAAAGTCCGTGAAACTTTTATCTCCAATAAACCACCAGAAAACTGGAAGTGGCGCTGTGGCTCAAGTGGTAGGTAGGGCACTAGCCTTGAGCTGAAGAGCTGAGGGACAGCACTCAAGCCCAGAGTTCAAGCCCCATGACCGACAAAAAAAAAAAAAAAAGAATTTCACGTGCTTAATTTCAGAGAATGTTTTATTTAAGGTCTTCACTCATAGCAAATGCTTAGAATCTCCCATGGAGAAATAACCCACTTTGATTTCTTTCTTTTATTTTTAAACTCAGGCTTTATAATAACTTCTTTCATAATAAGTGCTAATAAAAGCATTTCTTGTCTCCTCTGTCACTTGACCTGAGGTTTTCAAAGTATTCCCACCAAAGAATCTGATGTCCAAAGAAGAAATCTTTTGATGTCAGTATACAGAATTAATCCACTGTCTGGAGTTTGGCTATCCAGACCCAGATATTAACAACTGTTCAATTAAATTACAGCAGTTGTATTTGAAAGTTCTCCACGTGACCACAGACAAAAACTACATCCCCTCTCACCACTTTCCAACTTTATCTTTCAGACTTACAAGCTGTATGTAAAGAAAATAAGCACAGAATGCAAAACCAGCTAAAGCCACCAGCACAACCATGTTCATTGCAGCATTGTTTAAACATAGCCAAGAGCTGGAATCAACTCAGACGCCCCTCAACAGACAAATGGATCAAGAAAATGTGGTATATGTACATAAGGGAATTCTATGCTTCCATCAGAAAGGATGGCATTGCCCCATTCATAAGGAAATGGAAATACTTGGAAAAAATTATATTAAGTGAAGTAAGCCAGGCCCAAAGAAACATAGGCTGCTTGGTTCCCTTCATGTATAATAACTACAATGTGCCTTTACTGAGCAGTGTGTTTGATAACACAGATGGGTATAGAATGTTTTAGACCTATACATCTAAGCATTTAAGCAAATGAACATTCATTGTTTTCTAGCATCATGGCTACATTTACTCACTCATTTATATGTTCAGATAATACTTACTATTCATATACATACATATATATATGCTCGGGGCCTGGGTGCTGTCCCTCAGTTCTTCAGCTCATGGCAAGCACTCTACCACTTGAGCCACAGTGCCACTTCCAGCTTTTTCTGCTTATGTGACGCTGAGAAATTGAACCCAGGGCCTCATGCATGCCAGGCAAACACTCTACCACTGAGCCACCTGCCCAGCCCTGGTCATATATTTTTATATCAAGCAATAGATAAAACTCTGGGGTGGTAATGCCGGGCAAGGCCGGTAAGATCTTCATGAAGAGTAGAGGCTTTTCTGAGCAGGCTTAGACAGTTCAAGCTATTGAGAGAGATATTTCTAAAAGTCGTCCAAATCAAAACAGATCTTGAAGAAAAGAAGGAAGGAGGAAGAAAGAAAGGGAGGGAGGGAGGGAAAGAAAGAGCAGGAAGAAGGAACAAAGAAGAAAAGAAAAAGAAGAGAAGAGGGGAGGGAAGACAGAAAGGGATAGAGGGAAGGAGAGAGGAAAGGAATGAAGAAACAAAGAAAGAAAAGTCAGGAAGGAGGGAAAGAGAAAAAGAAAGAGAAGAGAGGGGAGGGAAGAGGGGAGGACAGAGAGGAGAGAGAAAAAAGGAAGGAAGGAACAAAGAAAGAGAAAAAGGAAGAAAAAAGAAAGAAAGTAAAAGAGAAAGAGAGAAGAGGAGCAGGAGAGAGGGAGAAGAAACAGAGAAAAAGGAAAAGAGAAAAGAGAGGGAGGGACAGAGGGAAGGAGAGAGGGAAGGAAGGATGGAAGGAAAGAATGAAGGAACAAAGGGAAGGAGGGAAGAAAGGAAGAAGGGAGGGAGGGAGGGAGACAAGGAAGGGAAAGAAGAGTTAGAGATCAGAAGTAGCCATATAATCTTCATAAGGACCTGGCACCCCTACATAACTCACATTGCATTTCAAGAAGGATTATCTGGGAAGTTTCGTGCAGAGGTGACTTTGCCTTTCAGGGTGAAGCGGAGGCTTGCCTGTGTTTTCTTTCCATAGATGGTGAGCCATTCCTGTGCCCAAATCGATGATATCATCTGCCATTACACCTTTGCAAATAGTTCTGCCGTTATGAAACGGAAACCGGAACACAAACGGGGGAAAGAGCACCGCAGACTAACAAAACACAATCTGCAAATGAACTCTTGTTTGTGTTTCATAAAAGAGACATTTTCACACCTGGGAGACAGTGGTTACGGTTTTATAGCCAGATCATTTATGCAACTCTGTTGACGCTACTATTTTATATTCAATATTTGCTTGATTTTTTTTTCTACTGAGAAACATAAACCAAATTCATCGTTATTTATTTTGCAAAATGTGCCTATGAGGTCTATTCCTTGCTTCGTTTGAGAAAAAGTTAAAGCCTTCAGGGTTAGAAATAAAAATGATCTTACAAAAAGGTTTTCTTCATGAGAAATGCATTCAAATAGCAATTTCTATTTATAGGTAAACATCTTCAAGTTGCCTGAGGAAATCTTAACCAGGAGCCAGTGGATCCCACCTGTCATCCTAGCTACTGAGGAGGCTGAGATCTGAGCATCATGGTTCGAAGCCAGCCTGGGCAGGAAAGTTCCCGTGAGACACAGGCCCTGAGTTCAATCTCCACAACTGACCAAAAAAGGAAAGAAAGAAGGAAAGAGAGATGGAAGGAAGGAAGGAAAGAAGGAAGGAAGGAAGAAAGGAAAAAAAAGAAAGAAATCTTATACAAACTCATAGTAAATCTAAATGCTTTCCTCTTACCTGATCTGGGATTTAGTGTAGTCCAATTTGATGCATCCCAAGGAAAGCTGGACCAAGAAATAAATGAGAATTGTGGTTTAAAGCCAGCCTGGGCAGGAAAGTCTGTGAGACTCTTATTTCCAACTGATCACCGAAAAAGCCACAAGTGGAAGAGTATCAGTTATGAGCAAAAAAGCTAACAGACAGCACCAGGCCCTGAATTCAAGCCCCAAGCAGGTGTGTGAACACATGCACGCACACACACACACACACACACACACACACACACACACAATTTTATAGTAATAATCCATATAACCATTGCCTGGATTTGACTTTTTTCTGTCTCTACATGTGGATCTATTTTTGAGCTCTCAATTCTGAAATATGCTTGTTGATGTTTATGCCAGTAACACAGAGATTGTAGCTTTATAATAGCAAGTCTTGAAATCCTACAGTAGAAATATTTCCATTTCTTTTCAAGTTTGCTTTGCAGTCTAGGTGCTTTGTATCTCCATATAAATTTTAGAATCATGTCAATTTCTCTTAAAAAATAGGATGCTTCTATGTATGATATAGATTTATAGATGAGACTTGTCTCAATATTATATTATTTATTTATTTATTTTGTTGGCCATGGGTGCTGGTCACTGTCACTGAGCTTTTTTTTTTTTGTTCAAGGCTAGCCCTCTACTACTCTGAGCCACAGATATACTTCCAATTTTTAGTGCTTCATTGGAGATAGAAATCTCAAGGCCATTCCCGCCCTGGCTGGCTTTGAACCCTGATCCTCAGATTTCAGCCCCCTGAGTATCTAGGATTACAGGTCTGAGTTACCAGCACCAGCTCCATGATATTTTTCTTAAAGATTGTGTTCTCTATGATAACTTTTCCTAAATGCTGGTGCTGAGGCTTGTACTCAGGGCTTTAGACTTGTCCCTTAGCTTTTTCATTCAATGCTAGCACTCTACTCTTGGAGCCACAAGTCCACTTCCAACTTTTTGGTGGTTTAATGGAGATGAGAATCTCATGGACTTTCCTGCCCAGGGTTGGCGTAGAAACATGATCCTCAGATCTCAGCCTCCTGAGTAGCCAGGATTATACCTATGAGCTACCAGAGCCTGGCTTCTGAGCTTTGTTGTTAGTCTCTATCTGAAATTCACCTTTTCTCTCTTTACTATAAAGTAACTCTTACTTACTTTTCAACATGTAGGTCTAGAAATAGCACTCAGGCAAGTCTTTGCAGCAAGTTCCAGTTAATTAATTCCTTGTTCAGAGCTCCATGATTAAGTGTACATACATTACTGCCAGTTGGCCATGTTGTTTTATAGTTTTTCTTAAGTCACGTAGCTTATTCAATAACTTGCACATAGTAAATTATCCTTACTTCTTTTCTGTGTGCGTTTGCCATTCCTGGGACTTGAACTCAGGGCCTGAACATTGTCCCTGAGTTTATTTTGCTCAAGACTAGTGCTTTACAACTTGAACCACAGCTCCACTTCTGTCTTTCTGCTGGTTAATTGGTGGTGAGAATCTCATTGACTTTTTTGCCCTGCCTGGCTTTGAACCAGGATCCTCAGGTCTCAGCCTCCTGAGTAGCAGAGCCTACAGGCACAAGCCACCAATGCCTGGCTTCCTTACATATTTTTATCCGTCAAAGTCTCTTTTGTCTGCCTAACATATTCCAGAGATTACATCTTAGCTTACAGAAACAAGCCTAGGCAGATAGGTGAATAGAATAATCACAGATGATGCCAGGTGATACAGAGATTAAAACAAAATGAAAGGCCCCAGACAAGGCACAACTACTTCACCTCAGAGGGAAGTGGGATTTTCAGGAAGTGACATCTAACCTGAACCAAAACCAAGGATACAAACAGTACCTGCAAGAGCCCGTGTGGGTAAAGAGTCTTTCACATGAATGAAGCAGGAGGTGCGAAGGCCCTGGTGTGAAGTCAAGGGCAGACAAGCCAGCATGCATAGCAGAGGAGAGAGTCCGGGGAGACTCCTCAGAGATGACACTCGAGAAGATGAGGAGGGGTTATCCTGTCAGTAAAACCAGAGGGAAAATAGTCAAGGCAGAGCAAGTTACAAAAGGCAAAGAGAAATGCACAGCCAAGAAGACTGCCCAGTACCAGTGGCTCACACCTGTCATCTTAGCCACTCAGGAGGAGGAGATCTGAGGATCAAGGTTCCAAGTCAGCCTAGGCAGAAATGCCCGTGAGACTCTTATCTCCAATTAGCCAGCAGAAAGTAAGAAGTCGGGGTGGGTAGAAATGGTAGAGAGTAGAACACCAGCCTCGAGCAAAAAAAAGCCTAGCAAGAGCATGAGGCCCCGAGTTCAAGTCTCACTACTGGCACAAAACTAAACAAAAAGAAGAGTGTGGTAGGAGGGATTTCAGAGGAGCCAAAAAACAGCATGGGTTTGGGGATAAAAAGAAAATGGGAAAACAGAAACTCTTGTGGTGGATATTTATTCTGATTGAAAGAAGAGTTGAGATCAATAGGTAGAATAGAATATGTATGTGTATGTATGTAATATGTGTGTATGTATGTATGTATGTATGTATGTATGTATGTATATGGCTCACAGCTCTCATCTGTAACCCTAGCTACTCAGGAGGCTGATATCTGAGGATTGTGATCTGAAGCCAGCCTGGGCAGCAGTGTCCATGAGACTCTTAACTCCAATTAACCACCCCTCCTCCCCCCAAAAAAAGTTGAAGTGGAACTGTGGCTCAAGTATAGAGCACTAGCCTTGAGCACAAAAGCTCAGGGACAGCATCCAGGGCCTGAGTTCAAGCCCCAGGACCAGCCCCAATTTAACAAATAAATAAAAAGAGCCAGACACGAGCTTCTCAGAGAACTGTAGGCCAGCGATCACGACTGACTGTATTAGCGATGGAAGAACAGGATCTTGTGTCTGAATTTAACGCACAATGATCAAGCTCCGGTTCTGGCCTGAGTGTGTTCTGAACCTAGATCCTGAGATCTCAGTCTCCCGAGTAGGTAGGTGACAGGAGTGAGCCATGGGTGTGCAGCATCTTTAAGCTATCTGAGTACGTGGCTATATGAAGAGTCTGGAGCCCATCTTTGAAGCAGACCCTTTAACACATACCAGTTGGGTGACCTTGGAGAAATGTCACCGAAATCCGGCCTTTTGGCAAAATGGTAACAGCAGGCAAGGGGGGAAATGCACCCACGAAGGAGTGAGGACCCAAGAATGTCTGTGGGCTGTGCCAGGGTGGCATGTTTGGCTAGAATGCCTCGCTAAGGGACGCGTAAGGTGCTCAGGGACAAGGGACTCCTCTGTATGCTTCGTTGTCACCTCCCGTGAATGTAGAATGATTTCAAAGTATGAGTCCCTTATTATGTGGCCAGTGAGTACTTAAAATGTGCTGGAAAGCCAGGCGCCAGGGGCTCACGCCCGTCATCCTAGCTGCTCAGAAGGCTGAGATCTGAAGTTGGTGGTTCAAAGCCAGCCCTGGCAGGCAAGTGTGTGAGCCTCTTATCTCTAATGAACCACCAGAAAACTGGAAGTAGAGCTGTGACTCAAAGTGATGAGTGAGAGACTTGAGCTGAAGAGCTGAGGGACAGCGCCCAGGCCCAGAGTTCAAGCCCCATGACTGACCAAAAAAAAAAAAAGATATTGCCAGAGTACTATTTTTAAGAATCTTAAAACATTTAATTTTTTAACATAAATAACTCACCTACCACACAGCTCCTCCTCCACGCTGCCTTATGTCCAGCCACATATCAAACCTACACAAAAGCTACCATTGTGCTCACTGTAAAACAAAGACAGACTAGCAAAAGAAAGCATTTCACTTCCTCCTTCTGACAGAACAAGAAAACAGCTGGGAGGGAGCATATATTTCAAGGAGCTGCTTTTTCTTATTGGAATATAGAATTTTTTTCCTGCAGCAAAAGCTCCTATGCACATACAATATAGGTATACATTTTTTTTTTTTTGGCTCGAACTCTGGGCCTAGGCGCTGTCCCTCAGCTCTTCAGCTCCAGGTTAGCGCTCTACCGCTTGAGCCATAGCACCAATTCTGGTTTGCTGAGTGGTTTACTGGAGATAAGAGTCTCAGGTAGTTTCCTGCCCGGGCTGGCTTTGAACTGTGGTCCTCAGATCTCAGCCTCCTGAGTAGCTGGGATGACAGGCGTGAGCCACTGGCGCCTGGCCATACCTTTTCATTTTTTTTTTTTTTAAACAACCTCTAGACATTCTAGTTACATAGCTGGCTTTGCTGTTTTACTGCTCTTCTTGTTTTTGCCTTTTACTGGATAGTAACATTCTCAGTTTGGAAATTGCTGCATTCTGTCATAGTACATTGTTACTGTTTTGCTAAAATCATCATTCCTCATATATAACATATTGCATACAATGCTGTATATACTATGTAGTGTGTATGCAATATCCATATACTACCTATATTATCTAATAGTTTATATAATGCATTGTATACATATTATATACATATATGGCATATATAATATATACTATTACTATACAGTAATATATTTATACTATATATGTATTATATATAACATAAAACAGTATATACTACAGATAGCAGATACACTACATATAGTGTATATATACTATATTCTATATATACACTATATAGTAATATACAGTATGTTATATAGTACGTATAGTAATATATATTATGTACTATATATTGTGTATCATAATATAGTATATACAACCTAGATACTATATATAATACTACATATTATACTATACAGTACATATACAGTATATACTAATACTATATATATGCCATATATAATGCTATATAAACTACATTAGTATGCATACTATATACTATATACAATATATA